GTGCATCGCTACTAGTAACAAGTGCCTTACTACTAGGAACAAGAAGCCATTAGAAACAATAATTGTTTCCTTTGCTCCTCGGGAACCGCCGAACGACGTGCGTCCGCGCGGTCGCCGAGTTGACGCTGCTGGCCTGGCGGGAGGAAAGCGTGAGCCCTGATGGCTTTCAACATGCAGGCGCCCAGACGTACGGTGTTTATTGGAACTGGAAGAGCGAAAAAGAGCTTCTATGCTAAGAACCTAGCAGGTTGGAGGCCATCGCTAGCAGGGTGGAGCTCATAACTAGTAGGAGCCTAACAAGAATGGTACATTGCATATTAAATGCTTTCGCAACTTGCTCTCTGAAAAAAAAACCTTTTCATCTGCCCCAAATGTAGGAGTTTTCACACTTCAGAGCTTACCCTGTGGCTTCGCACCCGAGTCCTCGCACTGAGGCCAGTCCTCGCTCTATTGGTCGCTGGTGCCGCTCCCGATCCGAAACGGCCACGGCGAAGCCCAATGGGCTGCTCGGTGGATCGCTCGAAACGACGGGCTCCCGGTGGTTTCGGGATTCCAGGTTTTCTTTGGTTTGCGCAAGTGAATGAGAAGGATTAGATGATTAGGATGGACATACTTGAAAGCTTTTGTGAATTGGGAACAAGACTGATGTCATCTGTAGACAAAGTGTTCAAAGTGTCTGTGGGACATAGTGGGTCAACCAATCTCAACACCATTCAAAACCTCTGTCATTCCGACCAACTCACCAACAAAACCTCCTGCGGGTTTGGCGGGTTCTGACCTGATCCGCCCCATTCCGCCGGCTTGTGGGCGAATTCTGGCTCAAAGCTTGGCACCCGCGGTGCAACCAAATTTTGTCCGGCATCTCAGCTCGGTTGGAGGGCATCGCTCAGCTCGGTTAGAGCGCATCGCTAGTAGCTTGGAGGCCATTGCTATTTTTGTCCGGCATCTCAGCTCGGAGCAAGACGTTGGGATTTCTGAGGTGAAGGTCTGATCATTTGGGGCCACATGCCCAACCAAAAAGCCTAAGTATTCTCACCCCGATTGTTGATACAGTTGATGCTGTGCTTTCATTCTTTTTGCTCTCCGCTGCAGGAGTGCCAGATTCGGCTGTCCGCGGCTTGTTTATGCGCTCGAGGTTGTCTTTCTGGGCCCGGCAGAGGAGCGGGCGACACGGGAAGGGGAACCCACTGCCGTGGCTAGGTTGGACAAATGTGTTTCACGAGCTGAATACTGAAGCTACTTACTTGAGGCTACTGGCTACGGGGCTGATGATGAAAACGACTCTTCCAGCTTTATTTGACCGCACTTGGTCGGCAGGACCTCAACAGGAAGATAGAGCTTTGAGTCTTGGGATTGGCCGCTTCGGGTCGTCGTTTGTTTCTTATTCTGTTTTTCTGACTGAATGAGGCCTCTGGTAGGTGGCAACTGCTTTAGACTTTAGGCCACCCTTGGAAAAGCTGACAACTGTTGAATGTTACCAACCGGAGAAAACAATGATTGCAAGCACAACATTCTGAGCCATTCTCAGGGGTGTCCAGACGTGATTGCATGCATTCTGACCGATATCGAGCAATATTGCATCGCACGTTGACTTGAGACAGTAGAATCAATTTGACATTGCGCGTATGTGTTAAATCAATATGAGACCAAACAGCGCCACCTTTGGTGGTGCGATGGGTCACGCATGGGCAACGCAGCTTCATGGGTGCTTTGGGGTTGCCTGGTGATTCCAAGGACACTGCATGCCTCCGAGGGCTTAATAGCAAGGACTGAAGGGATCTAAAGGGATTTGCTTTTTGGGGACTACCGTCATAGGTCAGACATCTTGCACATCTTCAGTGTGCTTTCTACCATTTTCTCGAATGTCAGGAAGCTTTCTGAATGCATGACAATAGCCTTCCCTTGCTAACCTGCCCTTGAGCATGCCCCTTCTTTGGCCCTGACCCTTCCATCGTGTCTTTCGCGTGACGTCCAGGACATTCGAGTCGCTTTCAGTTCGTAGCCATGTCGATGGTCAACATTCCTTCCACAAACACCGACCCTCAGTACCGTGCGCCCGGCCTCCTTTGAGGTAGGTTGGAGGCCATCGCCATTAGGTTGGAGGCCATCGCTAGTAGGTTGGAGGCCATCGCTCTTAGGTTGCAGGCCATTGCTATTAGAAACAATGACAAAAGAACAGGAAGAAACGTCTGATATAGTTTGCGGGTGGCCGGGAGAAGAACGCCACGGCCAGGCTACAAGATGCCGCGCTTGCAGGCGAAAATTGAGGGTCGTGGCAATGGAAACTTGGCCCAATATTTGTGTGATTCTTCTAGTTGGGTTACACGGAACCTAGATGTTCAAAGCAGGTATCTTTGGATCCTTTGATTGATCACCCTTTTTGACCCAAGCTGAGAACCAGCTTGTGGCCAAAAAAAGAATCCGAGTCGAATGCGCCATCTTTGAGCTGAGGAATCAAGACGTGTATTGTGAACATGGGAGAGGCGAGTCCAGACATGCTAGACTTGGTGCTAGACTTGGTCATCGCTGGTTTCCAGTGTTTCTCCTTGGAAGTGTTTCGCACCACACATGGTAGCTTTGTGCTGGTGGAAAAAGGTAGAGTTCTTGACAATATGCCGAGATCCACGGAAGGCTTTCTTCGCATGTCGAGTCGAAGGTATGTTCTTCCAATTTGGCACATGTAACTTGCCTTCTCTCAAAGCCTTCCACCAGGTCCGCTAGTGTAGATTCTGTAGAGATCTGCAGAGCATGTTCAACCTGCTCTCTCTCGCTCCCTCCCTCGCTCCCTCCCTCCCTCCCTCCCTCCCCTCCCTCCCTCCCCCTGCACATGGCAATGGTCAGGTAGCGCGGGCCATCAAACGTCCGCCGTCCGAGCCTTAGGCATTTGTTGTTCTGTGCGAATGGGGGGCTCTGGCTCATCAGGCTCTCCCATGTGCCATCACGTCAGAGTTGCTGTGCAAGTAGTGGGAGCAGCAGCAGCAGTCTATCTTGTTTGGGGCTTGCTCTACCTGCGCTCTCTTGGTCTACTTGTATTTAAATGCATCTTTGAGACACAAGTAATTACTAGCTAACATATGAGACATGTATGAGATATGCACGAAGTCTCTTGAGGCAGTACGTGACGAAGTTCTTCGGCAACGCCCGGCGTCCGAACTGAATCCGCCATCTCGGTTTGGTTCCGAAGAGGACGACGTCCTCCGGGTTGGGGTCTTTCTTGACAGCTTTTAAGTCTGAACGGATGGTGGGCTTTGGTCGGCTTGGGATCTTCCGGAGTGCCATGCGAACGAAATGGCTGAGGATCTTGGTGCCCAAGCGAACTACACCAACAAGGCGTCGGGTGTTGTGCGGCTCTGGTTCAGAGGTTTGCACGGTAAAGCACAACCATAGAGGCCAAGGCAAAATTCTCATTGACCCAGTGATGCTAAACAATCAGCAGCAGGAGAGCTAGAGGCTGGGTAGCTTGATGCTTAGCGTGAGGGTTTGGTTTCGCCACTTCCCTCAGCGGTCTTTTCGTCCCGTGTGGAAGCCACGCGCTTTCCAGGAAGGCGAAGGCGAACGTTCGATTGTCCGCGGAGCTCATCAGCAAGAGGCTATGAGCTGCTTCTAAAACTCAATTTGCCTAGTAGCAAAGGCCTCCCCAACCTAAGAGCGATGGCCTCCAACCTACTAGCAATGGCCTCCAAGCTCATTTTGCCTTGTGTCCTGAGTGGTTTCTCAGTGGTTTCTCAATTGCAGCATGATAAGTTCAAGTGCTTCAGAGAGAGTGGGAGGAACATCCTTGCTGCCTCTAATGTTTTATCCCGTTTCTTGAGGGCTTGGCTTTCCATGTGTTCCCTTGGCTTTCCCTTGGCTTCACTGTGTTCCCTAAGAGAGCGAGAATGAGCAGGACTTGAGAGTTTCCCTGGACAAGTTCATTGAGAAGTACGTTCTTTGCGAGAACTGCTCCTCGTTCTTCTGTTTTGGGCGCAGGGCATCACTGCCCTGGGTGGTGGCTTTGGGCAGCGAAACGAGCAGACGGAGAGGCGAACAGTTCGCCTCTCTGCCCGACAGACCGGACACCCACAGACTGGACGGCCTGGTGGCCTCTCGAGTGAAATGGTTGTGGCATCAGGTTCCTTGTGGCCTGAGGCAAACTTCCTGAGATCGACATGTATGTCAAGAAGGGCATCATCCAGGTGCAGGGCTGCGAATGCATGGGATACATCTGACATCTCTCGGTTGTCGGAGGATCGTGTGGACATCTCTCACAGCCTCCATGCGCTTTCATCGCCTCCAAGCGCATTCTAGACAACAAGATCAATCCGTTTTGTTATTTTTTGGGTCTAGGTGTTTGGTCATGCTGAGTCAGCGACCTTGGTCATGTTTGAAAAGCGGAACTGCAGGGCCGCTGCAATGCCTGTGGTTGGGCTGGTGAACTGGACAATGTCGACAAGATGCGGCCTCAGGGAGAAGAGGAGACGTAGGGGGCAAATGCTTGGAGTAGGGATCCAACCGAAGTCTGTTCCAAACAAGGCTTCAAATGAGTCTCTGTGAACAACTGGGGAGTTGGGGAACATTTCTAGGACAAGACCGCTCGTGGAGTCATTCAGCTTTCTTTCTTTGGATTCCATTCCCCTTCTAAGGCTTGCTGCCTTTATCATCAAGAACCCGCCAGCGACTAAGAGACTGAGTGAGGAGAGGGAGGAGCTGGAGTGTTTCAGGACATTCGGAGAGATTTGCGAAACGATTCTCCAAACGAAACGATGCCGTTCAGGAAGAGTTCAATATCCAACCTAAGAGCTCGGCCGGGCTCAGGCCTGATGAGTCCGGACTCAGCCTGGGCATGACTGTGGAAGGGGCAGGCTCGGCCGAGCGGGGACAGGATGCAAAGCCATTCAATAGTCTTGTTGGAATGTGATGTTTTGACTGCACTAGTAGCTCCTGGCCTTACTATATACTAGGAACAAGAAGCTACTAGTAACAAATGGCATCGCTACTAGTAGCAAGGATGCTACTAGTAGCTCCTGGCCTTACTGCTAGGAACAAGAAGCTACTAGTAGACGAGGTCTCGTGGTCACACTGTGCAAACAGCTGCAGCGGCACATGACTCTGAAGAACATGCATTGAAAGTGGTCAAATCATTGCGTCGTGGAACTGGCTTCATGGGCTCCGGTGCACGCGACACTTGCGTTGGAGTTTGAAGCGATGAACATCTCAATGCCCAGATAAGATGACCAAGCAAGAGCGACAAAAGGCCAGGGCACAGAAAGCCAAGGACTTCATGTCGTCAAGCATTCCACTGCATGTTTTTTACATTTGGGGTAGTCAAGTCTGATGACTCAGTACTTGCAGAAGGCTGCTTCCGGCCTGGTCTATTGTGGCATAGGATCTACTGGTACAGTGGATTTCACAAGACGTCAGACGTGACTGGAGCGTCGTCAGACGTGACTGGAGCGTCTGCATCTTCGAACGCAGGAGAAGCATGACGATGACGATGAGAGCGAGGAAGGTTCTGCTTCTGGCTACAGCGCCGCCAAGGTGCGACCGGCCGACCGGCCGCTGATGCGGGACCGGCGTGATGTACCGGTGGCAGCCGTCACGGCTGCCAGGTGGAGAAGAAAGAGAAGAAGGAGAAGAAGGAGAAAAAGGACAAGGAGAAGAAAGAAAAGAAGGCGAGTCCGGACTCGCCTTCTACCAAGCTCACGGCATGATGGTCAGTATTTTAGCATCCTAAGTAGACTCTGACAGATCTGATGTATGATCCACCCAAGACCTACATCTTTCTGCCCCTATCACCTATCTATGTACCCTTTGCTTATTGACATTGATGCGTCCACTTGGTAGGAGAAAAAGAAGAAGGACGATGATGACGATGACAGCGATGAAGAGAAGGAGAAAAAGGACGCCGGATCGCAAGACCGCTGCGCTTCGCAAGACCGCTGGGTTCGTTCCAAGGGTGACCCCGCGACCCAAGACTGGTGATGTTGCTGTGCACACGAAACACAAGGGTTCACTGATGCCATGAAGTGCTTCATCCGTTCCCCCTTCATTGTAAAGAAGCAACATAGGCAATAGAAGTTCCAAATCTCAGGGTTACCGATAGAGGTGCTGGTTGCAGATTGGTCTTCCTCTCTTGCTGCCCATGGGGAGGTGGGCAATTGACCAGGAAAAGAAGGAGAAAAAGAAAGAGAAGAAGGAGAAGGACAAAGAAAAGAAGGAGAAGAAGGCCAACGCTGCCCTCTCTCCAACACGTGTGGGTGTGATCCATGGCACATCTTAGACGTGTAGAATCTCTGACTCCTGGAGTGGCAGATCTCTGCAGGAGAAGTCCGAAAAGAAGGAGAAGAAAGAGAAGAAGGCATCCAATTGTTGGAAGAAGTTCATTCTCGGTTTTCTTCACGGCCGCGCTAAACTGCGGACCGTTTTCCTCAAAGTGTGTAGCTACACCAGGAGAAAAAGGCGGCAAAGGATTCGGCACCTTGGCAAAAATTGGAGGAGTAAGTGTGTTTTCAAGAGCGGATACTGGTGGGAACTCTGTAAGGCTCATGAATCAAGAATCGTGATGCAGCCTGCAACACAACATTAGCATAGCCTGTGATCATGTCTTGGTCTCCTGAGGATGACGACGATGACAATGACGATGACAAAGACGTCCAGAATCTCAAGCTGCGAGCTCAACAAGTGCGACGTTTGTGTAGAGTTCCAAGTGCACGCCATACACCTCGATGTTCTGCACTCCCCATACCTGACGAGCAACTTGCCAACAGCCCGGCTGCTTTTGCTCTCGAGGCACGATGAAGAGCAAACCAAAGCCGTGGTCGGTGTGCTGAAAGATTGGCTCAAGGAGAACAGTGTGGAGCTGAGTCTGTGAGTTCACACGAAGGAGAACAGCCTTGGACGTCGCCCGATTGTCCGCCTCGTCAACTTAGTCAGTCCGGGATTTGACTGCATGAGGTTGACTCTGAAGAATCAGACCCACTCTTTCGTTCACGGAGACCCTTTCGTGGATCTTTGCAGTGGAAAGCTTCTTGCTACTAGTAGCAATGGCCTCCAACCTAATAGAAATGGCCTCCACCCTAGTAGCTTCTTGCTACATTATCTCTCATGACCATTCGGACCAGTCACTGGAGAGCTGCGGGGCACGTCCGAGGCTCTCCGAAGCCAGCGGCCTTCTTCGAGGAGCTTCGCATGCAGCAGCTCTCGAAGGTCTTTGACAACAAGGCGAGGTCGTGGACGTCGGGATGAGGAGGAGGGGGGAGGCCAACGATGAGGAGGAGGGGGAGGCCAACGACCCGTTTTTTGGGTTGGAGGCCATTGCTAGTTTGGTTCCAGACCATTGCTACTAGGTTGGAGGCCATTGCTATTAGGTTGGAGGCCATCGCTATTAGGTTGGAGGCTGTAGCTGGAGAAAAGGCAAGAAGTGTTTTGTAGATTGAGGATCCTTCTGACCTTCCTTCATCCCCGTTTCTATCCGTAGAAAGCATCAGATGGAAAGCATCCAATACCGGACTGTGGCCCCCCGAGCAGTTCCATGTGTTTGGTTGATTCTGGGCAGATCAGCTCAGGATGCTTTTGGCTTTTGCTTTTGTGTTACAGAAGGCCGAGTGACGCATTGGCTCCTTCGGAGTTCCCTGTGTTTCAGAGGGATTTCCGCAGTACCCTTTGTCGAAGCATTTGCTGAGCTCTCAGACCATGCTAAACAGCCCATCCCAAACAAGAGGTGGAGATGGTTGCTTTGATCTATCCTCAAATAACAGAATGCAGAATGCACAAGGTGGAAAGAAAACCACAATGGCGGGTCTGGGAGATTTTTCTGCTTGCGGCTTGCTTGAGCTCTGCAGGTCCGCCTTTTCATTGCTTTTGAGGCGCGGACCTGCAGTGAAGGGAATTTCCGACGGATTTCAACAAAGAGAATCAACAGGACAAAACGAAGAAAGAAAAGAAGGCAGAGATATCTAGAGAACAATGAACAGAAACCACAGAAAAGGAAACAAGCACAAAAAGAAAGAAGCCAGGACCCAGACACGGAAAGACAAAAGGACGAGAGGTCTAAGGAAAGAAGAACATGAGAGCCCCTTTGGCCCTTTGAGTTGAGGGAATCCCCAAGTCGGAGTTGAAGATCATTCCCGTCTCCGGCCATTTCTGAAGTCCCGAGACTGGTCAGACATTGAAACATTGAAGCAGACCCGACACCATAAACATCAAGAAGCAGACGCTTTGTTGACTTCGCGCCCAGCTGCTCTTGCTGCTTGAATTTGTTTGACTGTTTTTGGATCGTTTGGCACAATGGAACTGCAGTTGAACCTTTGGGCCATTCCAGGCGCTTTGTGGGGAGGCCATGAATTCCGAAGCCTTGTCTGGGCAGAAAAAGCTGGTTGCGTGGAGCCCCAGTATGCGGCGTTATGCTGAAAACGGCGCGAGACTGACGTGGCGCGGCCACACGTGGCCTGACCAGCAAGTTTGATGTTGCAATCCAACTAGGTGACGTCGGTGACGTCTTGGCACTTTGGTTTTTCAATTCTTTTTATTGCTTCTTGTTACTACTAGTAAGGCACTTGTTACTAGTAGCGTGGCACTTGTTTCTAGTAGCTTTAAACCTTAGGTTGGAGGCCATTGCTCTTAGGTTGGAGGTCATCGCGGCTATAAGGTTCCTCTATATCGCCAGTGACACGGCCTATCCCTCGGACCCATCGGACCCATCGACGAACGACGCACGCGCCTCTCGTCGCGCTCGACTGGACGCTTCGAGGACAAAGTCATCAGCAGCAGTCCGTCCTGCCGTCCAGTCTTAGACGTGGAGTTTACGAAGGAATTCTCCAGCGCCCAAGACATATTCTCGCTAGCTTGGACACTGCTTGGAGATTTCCTTGCAAGAAGAACTCTAAGTCAATCCGTGCCAATTGTACACCAACACCTTTTTGGGCCCATCACCTTTGCTGTGCACATCATTTGAGTGCTGCCAGGAAGATGTGTGCAGCGGAAGTGCTTTGGGCAGGGTCCTCCTAGCCTTACAGTTGCTAGCTGCACAGTGTTGGTTGGATAACAGCATGAAGATGCATCCGCTTAAGGAGAAGACATACGCGGCAAAATAGACACACTTCGCTACTGCATTACGTTTTAGGTGAGGGCAGGCATGCCAGGGTCATGAGTCTGTCCATCATCCACGATGCTTTGGCCTTTGAGGCCTTGGATGCCTACCTCGACGTGCACAAAGGCATTTCAAAAGGTTTTGCCATGTTGCTGAAGGTCGTCTACGATGAGGTCGGATTGATACAGACATCGAGGGGAAGAAAGGAAACACATGTTCTTTGCCGTGTTACAACTGAAAGGCAACCGGGTAGATTTGTTTGTATCCGAGAAAGAAAAAACATGAAACAACATTTCCACTCTATCAGGAAACGATTGTTGGAGTTGTTTTGAAGTAAGTAAGCAGGCTTAAGAAGCACCGAACATGGGCGTGCCTTTTTTCCAGCACAAGGTGTTCTCATTCTCTTGAGACGGTCATTCCCGACAGTTGTGCAAAGCCGGTGCCTAAATATGGAAAGCTCGGCAGCCGCTCGGTTCCTTGCCCAAAAAGATATCATATTAGTCACTGCCATGTGCGCAGGTGGAGTCCCCTTTTTTCCTCCGCGGTGTGGAGTTTCTTTCGTCTCAGCCCAGCGTGTGACGCAAATCTGACAGGAGTGGGCTGAGGACAAGGAAATCCTGTCGTGCGCTCACTTTGACCAATACTACCTAGATCCAAATCAAGCAAAGGTCAGCAGCTGGGCCCCTTCAGGAACCAGTGAGGGGAGTGATGTGACGTTTGGTTCGATCGATGCAGATGCCCCTTCTCTTTTTTGGTGGCCTTGCCTAGTGGGCCTGCTTGCCTCTTGGCAGTAAAAGCCCTCACGCTTTCATGTGCCATGGAAGACAATGGATCGTTGCTCGCCAGGTACTACAACGATGACAAAGCAAAGGGAGAACCAGGTTTTCAGGACCTTTTCCAGCTATGTGTGGAGAGCGGCCGAAAGAAAGCAGAATGCAAACGGAAAGCCTAGCCCAGCTGGCTTCTTCAGTTCCCACCCATTTGTTCTACTCATCCGTGTGAGACTCTAACAACTTCAGATCTTTCAAGTACTTTCAACGGACAGGGTTCCCAACGTTGCAGAGCGGGTGAGCGGGTTGAAGATCAGGAAGCGAAGAAGCTGGCAGCACCCTTTTTGAAGCAGGGCGACCCAAACATCTCAGGGAACTGCTTTCAAGCTCGGCACCAGACTATTGGTACCTAGCTACTAAGTAGAACTAGGAGCAAGGACCCTACTAGACTAGTAGCTCTTGGCTTTACTACCAGGAACAAGGTTCGCAACTAGTCACAAAGGACATCGCTACGAACGGAGCAAGTTACTCATTGGGACCTCCAAGGATCATAGCTGTCATAGCTCAAACATGCACCGGGAGCACCAGCTGTGCAGAGGATTCACTTTATCCGAAAGAAAAGTAGCGGTGGCGGCCTCTTCCTTTGAACTTTTGAATGGAGGCTCCGGTGAGAGCACCATTGAGACATCACCTAGTGCTTGCACCAGCGATAGGGCTGCAGTGCCGCTTTGGATCTCGCCATCCGCCCTCTCCTGTCAAAGTGCTGCTTGGACTTCTTTTTGGCGTCAGCTCACGTCTGGTGATTCGGAGCCATTCCAGGCCGGATCAAGTCTCTTATTCCCAAAGGAATCGCATGCTGCGCAGGCAAAAGAAGAACTTTGCTCGACCTACAGGCCACGCTCCGCGTGCAGGAAAGCAGCTGTACTTCTTACTATCCCCAGCGGATCCTCAGGTGGATTTGACACCTGGACGAAGCCAACGATGTACACGTTCGAGGGGTGAGATGAAGAAGTCACGGAATTGTCAAGAACTTCTTGACAGGTTTTTCAAAGCACAGGAAAAAGACATGGTGGATGCCAGTGTAGTAGGTGCTGCAATGCAGAGGTGCGGGCAGGGCCGCTGGTGGAACACATTGCTCAAGATATGGGAAGTCCAACAGAAGAGTGGGCTTGTTCTGCACTGCATTGAGCACAACTTGCTTCTACATGCCCTTGCATCCTGTCTAAAGTGCAAGAAATGCACGGATCTGCACATGAATGTGAGAAAAGAGAAAGCAATTCAATTGGCCAAGACTGTCTGGGGGTCCCCGTTGCCGACAACATCCCGTGATTTCGATTGTGCACTGAGCAGTGCCTTGAAAGTGTGTCTTCGTGTTGGAAGCACAAAGGCTTTCAGGTGGGCAGACGAGTTGTGGGAGTGGTCTGAACGACAGATGTTTCAGAAAACTGTTGTTACCTATGGTGCCAGACTGTCTGTGTGTGAGCTCCAAGGACGACATCGTGACGTGGATGACTTGTTCCAGCAGTGCACGAAGCAACACGTTGAACTTGATAGTGTTCTCCTGGGAGACCTTGTTGAGTGTGCAGCCAGTTTGCTGGACATCAAACGAGCAGATTTTCTGTGGGAGACTCTGACGGTTCACTACCACGTGCAACCAAACTTCCTTACGTACAGCGTCTACGCAAAAGCTCACATGCTAGCAGGACAACCTCAATCAGCTGTCAAAATTATTGACGACATGCTAGGTGCACGGCAAGGCCCCATGGACTACAAACTGGCCATTGACTATTTGCAAGCTCTGCTTTTGGTGGCTCACTCGTCCCTGTCACCCTGCGACTTGAAACGCATTCGCAAGTTCTTACCGGAAGGCGCAGGTGTCGTAAACGGAAAATCTGCCAGATCTGGGAAACAAAATTGGAGATCATTGCGAGCAGTGTCTCTTCAACTCCTTTCTGATCCTCAAAAACCTTGTTTCAAGGACTTGCTGGTGACCAAAATTGCAAAGGATAGCGTAATGACAGGATGGGTAGACCACCTGGCAGGCACCAGCTATTTGGAGTGAGCACTCGCACTCGAAAGTCACAAGATGCACTGCTCTCTGTGAACGAAGACGACGAAGGTGCCACCTGCTTCCGGCATCCAAAAATGAAGCCTCGCGCGCGGCAGTTCTGGACGAAGATTCACCGCGCGGCACCGCTGCCTTTGAATCCGAATCGGAGGCTTCACTCAACGTGGTTGGAAGAGTCCGACCGGCCCAGGTGGTTGGAAGAGTCCGAGGACGAGGATGACGACGACGATTCAGACAGTGACGATTAGGAGCGGGTGGAGTGTCCGGAAGATGTGGTTCACACCACAAAAACGTAAGCGCAACTTGTTTGGCCATGTGGGGGATCTGGGGTGTTTATTTTTCCTTCATTGGCAAGCCTGTGTTTGGTTACTTGACTAATCCCTTTTAAATGCATAGTAGCGGTAACGGTGATATTTCTGCCTCAGGTAGCACCCTGCAACGTTAAACGGTGGTGTTGGCCCTTTTTGATAATTAAGCTGACTGAACTCATCGCTCAGGTTTTCCCTACTAAGTCCTTGCTGAAATGTTGAAAGACATTGAGGATTCGTGTTTGAAAGACAGACGTCACTCGAACAAATCACGGTTCACCTGACCTGAACATCGGCAGGACTGAGCGAGGCACACGCGCGCCCGACCGGCTGAGCGAGAAAACTATCTTTTTTCTTTCTCTCGAAGGTGTTGCGTCAAAGGTCTCATGTGTTCGGCTTCTGGAACGTTTGACGAAAAAAGAAGGTGGGTGCAGGGATCAGCAGGTATTGGCTGGGTGCATGTGGGCTTGTTTGATCCTCAAACAGTCGACTGCAACCTGAGAGCAATGGCCTCCAAGTAAGATTCAGAAGTAAACAACTAGCTATTGCCATTAAATTAGATTAACCCAATAGCAATGGCCTCCAACCTAATAGCGGTGGCCTCCAACCGCACAGATCTTTTCCTTGCCAGGCGCAATCCGATGATAAGTCGCCGTTGCCTGAGATCCATCCTACAGCCATCGTACAGAGCGCTTTGCGCACGGACTCAACTCGAGAAAACAGGAACACTGCTGCGCTCCCTCAGCCGGGATAGAAGGGAGAAATTCTGGTGAGGTGAAAAGCTAAGACTGAAGCCTGCACCACTTTGTGTTTGAAAGGATCACATCAGTAGGTGCTTACGGCGAACAGGGGGAAGTAGACGCACATCTTTCCGCTCCAAGATGTTCTTCTACCGTGGAGTACTTCGTCCTTTCCTCTAACCTAATAGCGATGGCCTCCAACCCACCAGCAATGGCCTTGAGCCCACTAACGATGGCCTCCAACCTCCTAGCAATGGCCTCCAACCTACTAGCGATGGTCTCCAACTTACTAGGGATGCCGTGGAGCACATCTTCCTTTCTCTTCTTCTCTGCGCCTCGCAGGTGTCAACGGTGCTTTGGATTCTGCTGGTCTTATTCATCTTAGCAGTCCTGACTTTCGTGTGGGTACCTAGCGAGTGCAAACAAGAACTGTTCGGTGTAGAAACCAAGAGCTATCCGACAAGACAGTGAACATCTTGACAAATCAAACTGGGCTGGAGCATGCTTTTGATGCCCTTGTGTGTCAATTGCGTGTGACATTGTTGAGAGTAAATGCACCTGAACAAGATATTCCAGGCTTCCATTCTTGCATTCTCAAAACGACAGGGCTGCACCTTGGCCAAGGGACCGAGTCTTTGCGCTAGACGGACCCCCCACGAGTCGACTTGGTGTGGAGCATCTGCCAAGTGAAAGCATGTGCTCGCAGGTCTTTCAGAAGATCTCCTGCCTTCCCAAATGCAAGCGCTACTTGGTGGCAGAGACTGGATGTTTTTTTCCTGACATCAAGCTGTCAAGATACAGGAATTTTGTGAAATACCTTGGAAATTGCATGACAATCATGAGCACCTTGTGGAGACATTTCTTTCACACTCGACATTTCCCATATTGCGTCCTCAGGCTTTTTCTTCCGATTGGAGGACAGGGCTGTGAGGAAAACGGCTGTCACGTGTTAGAGCTGCTCGAAAACCTTCATTCCCATTTGTTGCAAAGACAGTGCAAAGACAAACAAAGGGAGAGAAGGTAATGTCTCGCAGGCACTCAACGTCTCTAGTCGTAGAGGCAGCCTTTCTCGTCTTCTGAAGACCAATGCGAAACAAGAGACTAGTGAAGCTCAAGCCGCTCAAGCAAGCGACGTAAGCGACTTGACTTTGGACCCTCAACATGCGATCCGCTTGCAAAGTCGTTGGTCGTTGCCAGATGAAAAAAAGCCAACGAACCGCAAACGACCGCAAACCCGAGATGATACAACCAACTTCTTCATCCTTGCAGACGACAAATCATGTTGACCTTTGATTTATAAACGACCCTAGAATAATGTCACTTTTTTTCCTGCACAGATTTATAAAGGCCCCTAGAATAATGTTTTTTTTTTTTTTTTGGGAGGGGTAGTTGTTGAGGGGGGGGGGGGGAGTTTATAAATCAAGGGTCAACATTAAGCAAGCTTCTCTTCCAGCGTGGTCACGGATTTCCAAACGGCGCGAGAACCGGGGATTTCCAAACGGCGCGACTTGGAGCCCAGGAGGTCGGGAGGCTCCTGAAACCGTCCGATCCCCTTCCCGAGGGAACGTGCTTTCCACATGGCAGGAAGTCCTTTTGCCCAAGAGGCCGCACCAGGTGCGGTGCGGATCCTCAGATGACGCACTTGTCAGTGGCACTTGTGACTTTTCAACAGAAACAGACTTACTAGCAAAAGGAACCTCATAGCGAAAGGAACCTCATAGCGATGGCCTCCAACCTGGACTTTTCAACAGAACCCACTTTCCGTTTCATGCAGTTCCAAATTGTGGATGGTCTCCACAGCTTATCAGCCAATGTTCTTTTTGAACATCAACCGACGTGGTGGAGTGCTTCTTCGATTAGGGCGAGTGCTCGTTGCCGCAACAACTGCATTGGACTCGACTGCTGACGTGCTGCTCGACTGATGCTCGACGATGCTGAGGCAACCCGTTCTGAAGCCAGCATGGTGATTGGGACAGTCAAAGCTTTCAAACTCTTAATGGAGGACCGGTGAGAAACAGAAGCCACCAAGAAAGCCCGCACTCCTTTTCATTGTCAGAGCCACAATCCACAAAGCGGAAATCTGATCAGCAGCGGAGTACAGTGCGTGCACGCTTGATGCCGATGAGAATGTCATGTTCTTGGATACGAGAAGAGCTGGGAGAAAAACAAGACGTTGATGATTTCGATAACACATATACTAGGAGCAATTTTCGCAACTAGGGGCTCCTGGCATCGCTACTAGGAGCAAGGACGCTACTAGGGGCTCCTGGCCGTACTACTAGGAGCAAGGAGGCTACTAGGAACAAAGAAGCACTCCAAGGTGGACAAAGATGTCCTGGACACAGGAGTTTGCTACCCAAAGTGCTGAAGTTCATCCCTGCAGCAGTTCTTTCTCTTCAGGTTGTGGTGCTTCAAGTGAACTGGTGCAAAGGAGCATGTTTGCCGTCAAGCCAGACAGACATGCTTAGGACCTAGGAGGACAGACGTGACCATGAGCAGGTCCATAGGAATGCTCCCAAAACTGCCCAAAGAATAGTCATGTGAAACAGAGCTCAGCATAGCAGCCATGTTCCCCAATTAGAGCTTTTTCCTCGCCCAATGGCGGGCAATGCGAACCCTGGTATTTTTGACGCTTGGCAGTTGCAGAACTGCCGTTTCGTCGGTCCGAGAGACGTCTTGGGAGTGCACGTCGGCTCGTGCACTTGCCAGGGTTACCTGGTTGTATCATGTATGTGACAGTGCACTTGGGTGTGTTTTTCAGCAAGAGCTTCCTGTGTATCTGCGACCTAGCTAGCTGTTCGGTGGCAGATCGTCTAGCGGTCGAGCGTCTTTCGGACGCGATTCTCGGTTGCGCCGAAGCTAAAAATGAAGAAACACTTGTGGTGCCGAAGCTAGCGCCGAGGCCACTTTTTTTCCCCAATCCGCTTCAAAAGACAAACACACACACACACACATCCGTATCCAAACGTATCAACAAACGTATCTAAACAAGACACACACGTATCTAAAGATCCAACACACACACACAAAACAAACGTATCTTTCAACAACATCCAAGACATCCACACCTCAGAAATTCTGCAGTTTACGGCCACACCTCAGTGCCGTGCGTCTCTTTATTTAGATTTGTTGCATGAGTACAATTTGGTTGCTTTCTTATAAATATATGTTTTGACCGCCTTGGCTCCCCCAAGCAAAGCGACACCCAGCCAGCAGCAACAAAGCAACAGTGTAAGCAACACTGAGTAACAAGTGCACTCGGACGTGGTCACTTGTCGTTTGGCAAGTAGCGGTGTGTTGAACGAAACGGTAGCAAAAGCCCAAGGAAGAGCCCTTGAAATAAAGGACACCCCTCAGAGCAGTGTATGAGACCCGAACCCGTCCAATTTGCCAAGGAACCCGTCCAGCAGAATGAAGAGGCGACGGTCATAGGCCACTGGTCAGTTTTGTCAATGGCATGATGGCATTTTGGGGACTTGTTGGCAGGGAGTTTTTATCTCAACTCTTCTTAGCTTGGAAGAGGTTTGTTGAATGCAAGCAGTCTGTCAAAAATGAAGTGGACATTTCATTGCAGACCTTGCACGAACTTGAAAGGGCTAATTAAGGGGTCATGACAGCTTCATCAGTGTCAACTCAGCCTGCTTTCATCCTGGCCAAAGGGTTGACTGTAAGGATTTGGGCTCCAGTGGTTTGCTCTGGGTCTCCACCCTGAGCAGTTGAGGTGCCAAGATGATGGATGCAGTGGATATCCAGGAGGCTGGAGTCAAGACACACATTTTCAGGAGACGAACATAGGATGCTGAGAATTCATGAGATTTCACCGCTTTTCTTTCAGACAAGCCAGCACCGTGGTATCGCACGGTGCTTGGTGCTTTGCTCCTCGCGTGAGCACCGTGGGCTGCGGCTGAGGTGAAGGAGGCGACACCGGACGAGGTCGCCTCACCGGTCGACCAGGCGAGCCGAATCTCGCTCTCGCAGCTCCGCCCTGTCGCCACTGTCGATCTCTTCGTGGACACTGCCGGTTGCAACCGTTCGTGGTACGTGGTTTCCACGCTGAAGACATGTGGTGATAGGAATTGACACGGAAAAACACTGTGATAGGAATTGGGAACAGCTGGCACAGCTCACCGTTTTCTAGACTGAAAGAATTCCTTCATGAGCATTTTGTGTCAGCTTTTCCCCTGTGAGACCGACTTGCCACTGCGAACTGTGGCTCTCAGCGTGCTTTTCTATGCAGCTTGCTGGTCAACCTTGTTACTCATCAACAAGGTGCTTGGCTGAATGCTTGGTGACTGTGCGGATGGCAAGCTTTTTGACATAAGAATTTGATTGCATGTTCGAACAATCTTCTGCAGTTTCGGGTGCATGAATCTACAGCTCGTGGAGTAGAATCAGTGTGGGGCACAAATTCCTTGTGCTCGCAGCCTGTTTTGCCCTGCATTTCAGGTTGTTCCTCTAGCTCAAAAATATGACGTCGTGCTCACCCATCCCACTTGTGCTATATAAGCCATGGACTCCGTAACCCCAGGTGGCCATGCACTTCGTGCCCGATGCCTCCTTCATCCTCTTCTGTCAGTTTCTGAGCTCCTCCCTCACTGTGACCTGTCCGCAGTGGGAACCTCTGAACCCAAAGAGGTGTCTATTTTGCCTGGCCAGAGCCTCTAAAGCTTTGGCCAATGCATTGGTGATTTCACAGGCACCAGCACAAACACGTTTGATGTTGGAGGATTGAGTCAGTTCCTATTACACGCATTTTCTTCTTCTTTCTCTTGCCAAAGCTGGTTTGCTTCCACGCAGGAACATGGACAACCGGTCAACCCAAAAGGTGGGCTCTGAGGATGCAAGACCCCAAAGTAAAGCACGGTCTGGCCAATGACAAACCACTGGGTGCCAAAGCCTTTGATCCACAAGATCACACAACAAAAAGACCATGCCAAGCGAGCCAGGTGCGGGTGATCAAGTGCACCACGCCAGATGCGGACATCGAGCTACTCCGTCACTTGGACGAAACAGAGGGTCAGAGCCGGCGGTGGGATCACGGATTTCATCAAGGTTGAGCTGGGCTGGCTGGGCCCCGCACAGAACGAATAGTTTAAGAAAGTCCTGGATTGCTTTAGTCGGTAAAAGCAGTGCCAGATCACCAAGATTAGGCCATTGAGCCGGTGTGTTTATTATTCGTTTTTGTTTTTGCATCCACCGAACACATATGATTCTGGTGCGCAGGATTGTTTTGCCAAAAACCGAGGCTTCGACAAAGTACGGATCTTTTTTGTGGCGTGCCTCATTTTCTTCTTGTGTTTTCTCGCCCGGGCGCCCAAAGAGACAGCGGAGGCTGA